GTGATGGCGGCGGCGGTGGCTCGCGAAACCTCTTCCCAACATTGGCGGTCGAACGTTGGCGATGCCTACTATGGGAGCTGTTTAGAGCTCGGTTCCGTCGAACCAGACTATGATACCAATTGACGAGAGATTGTTTCACCCATCACGTAAATCGTAAGAACTAGAAACTAAAGAGAACGAGATTAGGGTTTTAATTCTTCTTTGACTGATTAAAACATAGAAACAAAGTGCATATTTATAGGAGAACCGAAAAACCTAATCACTGACCAATTCTACAAGGATACGGTAACTCAATCCTAAATAAACTATATTAAACACTTAATTAATTAATACGATTCTAAACAAAATCTAAACCTGCTAACAAACTAATAATGATAATGATAATTCTTTTCAAACAAAAAAATAATAGTAATAATAATAATAATAATAATAATAATAATAATAATAATGATAATTGGCCGCCGAGAATGATAATGCATCAAGACAGTGTCTCCAATGGTAACCCAAGGCCTGCACAACTACTAATGAGCTTAATGATCAATTGAGAATCGAATTCGATCCTCGGAACTTCATGCCGAGGTGTATCGCAATTTCAACAACCATGGTGATTTTTGGCGAACCACGTCACTACCACCCTACTTCGGCGACCCTTGCTCCGTCTGAGCATACTTGAGCCTCTCCTCTGGCACAATTAAGTTGACTGTTTGCCTTGCGTCATCCCTTTTTTTATCTGACCCACCATCGTTATTAGTCGAATCGTCTTCATCACCATTACGGCTTGGTTCCGAGTCGGCCTCGAAACTTCCACTGTTAACTTGTCCGGCAGTCCATGGCTACGTACGAGAAGAGCATCAAGCCATCGTAGGAACGCCTCCTGATCCTTTCGCAACGTGTCCCTGCTCTCTTCGAGATCACGTCGCAACTCCTTCTGTATTGCTTCACCCATCTGTTTAAGATCACGCTAAAACTCCTCCCGTTATTGTCAGAATTCTACTTGGAGGTCCGTTTGTCCATGCTTGAGGTTAAGGACGTTAGTTCGAAGTTGTCCTCGTTCCTTCGCGGCAGCTTGCAGTTGCTGGTCAAACTCGCCCACCCGTGCCCTCATCTCGCGGAGTTGCTTCTTGAAATCCTCTTCAACGGCGACCTCCTGGGTTGTCTACATTGTGTTGTTCTTCTTCGGGATCCTAGAGACACCGACAAGACTCAAGAGTGAACGAAAAGATCTTTACAGTGATCAAATCGGAGGTTTATTCGGCGATTCCCAAACCTCGATTGGTGGTTGAATGCGAGCTACGGTTAGCTCATTTGTTGGCGGCGCCTCGTTCGGCTCTCCGTCCCTCGTAAGAAGCACATCCCTAATGGTTAGGGCTTCTTCCTCTGGGGTCGTTGCGGCATTGGCCACCCTTCATCGGTCAATTGGTTTGCCGCGTCGTCCTTGCCTTGGTCGGTTGGCGGCTTCTGATCGTGCTCGATGAAAGGTGGCTGCGTATCCCCCTTGTCGCGGCGGGATGTGATGGCGGCGGCGGTAGCTCGCGAAACCTCTTCCCAACATTGGTGGTCGAACGTTGGCGATGTCTACCGTGGGAGCTGTTTAGAGCTCGGTTCCGTCGAACCAGACTCTGATACCAATTGACGAGAGATTGTTTCACCCATCACGTAAATCGTAAGAATTAGAAACTAAAGAGAACGAGATTAGGGTTTTTATTCTTCTTTGACTGATTAAAACATAGAAACAAAGTGCATATTTATAGGAGAACCGAAAAACCTAATCACTGACCAATCCTACAAAGATACGGTAACTCAATCCTAAATAAACTATATTAAACACTTAATTAATTAATAAGATTCTAAACAAAATCTAAACCTGCTAACAAACTAATAATGATAATGATAATTCTTTTCAAACAAAATAATAATAATAATAATAATAATAATAATAATAATAAAAATGATAATTGGCCGCCGAGAATGATAATGCATCAAGACAGTGTCTCCAATGGTAACCCAAGGCCTGCACAACTACTAATGAGCTTAATGATCAATTGAGAATCGAATTCGATCATCGGAACTTCATGGCGAGGTGTATCGCAATTTCAACAACCATGGTGATTTTTGGCGAACCACGTCACTACCACCCTACTTCGGCGACCCTTGCTCCGTCTGAGCATACTTGAGCCTCTCCTCTGGCACAATTAAGTTGACTGTTCGCCTTGCGTCATCCCTTTTTTTATCTGACCCACCATCGTTATTAGTCGAATCGTCTTCATCACCATTGATGCTTGGTTCCGAGTCGGCCTCGAAACTTCCACCGTTAACTTGTCCGGCAGTCCATGGCTATGTACGAGAAGAGCATCAAGCCATCGTAGGAACGCCTCCGATCCTTTCGCAACGTGTCCCTTCTCTCTTTGAGATCACGTCGCAACTCCTTCTGTATAGCATCACCCATCTGTTTAAGATCACGCTAAAACTCCTCCCGTCATTGTCAGAATTCTACTTGGAGGTCCGTTTGTCCATGCTTGAGGTTAAGGACGTTAGTTCGAAGTTGTCCTCGTTCCTTCGCGACAGCTTGCAGTTGCTGGTCAAACTCGCCCACCTGTGCCCTCGTCTCGCGGAGTTGCTTCCTGAAATCCTCTTCAACGGCGACCTCCTGGGTTGTCAACATTGTGTTGTTCTTCTTCGGGATCCTAGAGACACCGACAAGACTCAAGAGTGAACGAAAAGATCTTCACAGTGATCAAATCGGAGGTTTATTCGGCGATTCCCAAACCTCGATTGGTGGTTGAATGCGAGCTATGGTTAGCTCATTTGTTGGCGGCGCCTCGTTCGGCTCTCCGTCCCTCGTAAGAAGCACATCCCTAATGGTTAGGGCTTCTTCCTCTGGGGTCGTTGCGGCATTGGCCACCCTTCATCGGTCAATTGGTTTGCCGCGTCGTCCTTGCCTTGGTCGGTTGAAGGCTTCTGATCGTGCTCGACGAAAGGTGGCTGCGTATCCCCCTTGTCGCGGCGGGATGTGATGGCGGCGGCGGCGGCTCGCGAAACCTCTTCCCAACATTGGTGGTCGAACGTTGGCGATGTCTACCGTGCGAGATGTTTAGAGCTCGGTTCTGTCGAACCAGACTCTGATACCAATTGACGAGAGATTGTTTCACCCATCACGTAAATCGTAAGATCTAGAAACTAAAGAGAACGAGAATAGGTTTTTATTCTTCTTTGACTGATTAAAACATAGAAACAAAGTGCATATTTATAGGAGAACCGAAAGACCTAATCACTGACCAATCCTACAAGGATACGGTAACTCAATCCTAAATAAACTATCTTAAACACTTAATTAATTAATACGATTCTACACAATATCTAAATCGACTCACAAACTAATAATGATAATGATAATTCTTTTCAAACAAAATAATAATAATAATTGGCCGCCGAGAATGATAATGCATCAAGACGGTGTCTCCAATGGTAACCTGAGGCCTGCACAACTACTAATGAGCTAAATGACCAATTGAGAATCAAATTCGATCCTCAGAACTCTGCCTCCAAACTTTCAAGCAAGATCTAGACCATAAAAGAAGGCCCACAACTCTGAGAGGGCAGCCGAGGCCTCCCTGATGTTAGCTACGAAACCGGCAATCCATCTTCCATCTCTGTCACGATCCGGTACACCCAGATGCTACCTTGCTTGCCGCTATTCGCAGAAAGCTAGGACAAGACTGGCTGGTAAACATCACTCATGCATACCGGGAAGGGAATAGGGCCACGGACTGGCTCTCGTAGCACAATCTCGTCCATCCCTACGGTACGCATAAGCTTGTGAACCTGCTCTCTAGACTAGCTTTGATTCTTTGAGATGATCTCATGGGTATCGCCTTTGAGCATAGAGTTGTAGCTCCTTCTTCTTCCTCTCGGTTGTAACGTCTCTTTCTTGCCTTTCATCCTCCCTTTATGCAAAAAAAAAAAAAAAACAATATCACGTAGTATGTTTTACCAATTATCCATATACGTCAATTATTTATTGATTTGATATTAGAGTTATATGTACAAAGTTGCTTGTCTTAATTATAATTCATCTTCAATTATTAACCATGACTTTAAAAATAAAGTAATTAGTATTATTGACTTAATGAAAACTTAATTAAATTTTTTGTTGTGGGATATAAACAGGATTTTCCTGCATTGTATGTGAACCGGTAAACCAGACTATTTATTTTGACGAGCTTGAATAAAGTACTTACTAATTGTATAATCATTTTCGTTTCCGATGGATGACCAAACGGACATGAGAGGAGGAAAAAGAATTTACGAGCTCCATTATCAGTTTATTTAGTGGTTCATTTAAGAATTGAGAGAAAATAGAGGTCGTTTAGATGAATAAATGTTGACAAATGATAGAATATTGAAATGTCGACAAAATTAAGAAATCTTAATCATGTGGGAGAGAATTAAAATATAAAAGAATTGAAGATTAGAAAATTTAGACCTAATGCCATCACTGAATTCCTTCATCCAATCACCCCTTCCCTTGAAAATGGGAAGCATGATGTTGATGAACTTCTGTTTTGCTGCTTGTTTACTTACTCGACTTACTTTTGGCGGTTGTGTTGGTACTTGGTAAACGGAATGTTGCTTCAATCTTCATTCAAACGAAACAAAAAGTATGCGATTGGTGGGTCAATAGCTGCCCCGAAACAACATGGATCTCCGTATATATTTTTAGGTCGCACTGATGGCAGCTTCACATCAACTCCCGTTACCAGCCCTACCTGCTACAACTTCTTGGCAGCTTAAGATCGCAGTAAAAAAAATTTGGGGCACCTACATATTTTTACTATGGGGGACCTGCTAAAAACTCCAAATGCCAATAATCATCGAACCACCAATCTCATGCATCTATCTCAGGCGCCGTGGGAGAACGTCACTTCAGACTGAAACTATATTCTCTCGGTCATAAACAACACGATCACCAGTTCGTGTTTGGAAACTATTTTGACCTTTTGTATCATGCATTTTCAGTAAACAAGTTGGTATACTAAATCTGATCTCTCCATGCAACTAGAAAGTACATTGGCAATTTTAAGCCGTCAACCAGACCAAGAACTAATTCAGCAGGAGCGATTTCAATGTATCTCTTGACGCACGCAAATGCGTGTTGTTACTTTACCTGATCTCCAATTCCAACCCCATGAAACAACCCAAATTACTCCTTGACTAGGCGATCGTGAGCAACCCCATTTCAGCTTCCTAGCCCACCATTCCAAAACCAAGGGTTTATACATACAGCTCACTTCTTCAACAATCCGGCAAGCTCTCCAGTCTCATACATGGAGGTCAGAATGTCACAGCCGCCAAGCAACTCCCCTTGAACGAAAATCTGCGGGAAGGTAGGCCAGTTGCTATACTTCTTCAAGGTTTCCCTCAACCCAGAGTTATACTCTTCGTCGAGCACATCAACACTCTCGTAGTCCACACCTTGGCTCTCCAAAATGCCCACTACTTTCTGCGAGAATCCACACATCGGGGCGCTTCTCGAGCCCTTGATGAATGCCACCACTCTGTTTTCTTTCACCAATCTGTCAATCAAATCCTCCAGTGGAACAGTCAGCTGGACGTGTCGCCCTGGTGTCAGGCGAAGGTCAGCCTTCTTCTTCTTCGCCGGAGGCTGCTTGACCCATGTGGCGTTGCCGTTTTCATTACCCGGCGGAACTTTCCCCGTGGCTTTTATGTGCTCTTCCATCCATGATTTCCATGCTTTCGTCAGGGAATCTCTGTCAGCCTCTTCTACTACCCCAACCTTCAAACATTACAACGAAAATTTCATTTCCTCCTCTTCTAATTCATTTCTCAATCTCTCTATATTGTATACCCTAATTAGCTAGTTCCGTAACCATTTCAACGTAATTATAGCAAAACAGGATGAGCAGTAAAGTAACTTCCTACTACCTTAACGGCGGAGCAAAGGTCCGGGACGGATTTGGAGTGAGTGGCGACGCTGGCGGCCAGATTCTTCGTGATGCCGACGAATTGGAGATCCCCGTTCTTGTCGTGGATGGCATAAACGCCGCACTCCGACGGGAACTTTGCGACGATTTCCTCCAGAGATGGAGGAACGGGCAACAGCTCTGCCTCGGAGAGACTCTTGAGCGCTGCAGAGGCAGCGGCGAAGGAAGCACGACGCCGAGGAGTTGTACGGCTACTAGGTCTAAAGGAAAGGGAAAGGAAGGAAGTGGATAGTTTTGCGATGGGCGAATTGAACGACAGCTTGGCGCTAGCTTGAGCGGGAGTCGAATAGAGCAAGGGGAGAGAAGGGGAGGCTTGTAATGGAGACAGATTGATTGTCGCCATGGAAGTGAGGGATGAGATTTTGAGAGAGAGTTCCAGAACAAACAACAGAGGTTTGGGTTAGAGAAGCAAGCAACGACCGCACGCCTAGAGCGGAAGGCTGGTTGCCGGGTTGAACAGAAGTACTGAATACACACACACGGGCTTTTTGTAGTGTCGCTGATTATTTTGGGCCTTAAAGTGATTCAGGAACTCCGCCGGGTGTGGGCTAATTGGAAATCTTATTTTGGATCAGTGTGAGAAGAAAATCAACAAGGTTTTGGTAAGGATTCTCAACTTTAGAGCCTTCTAGTTTTCCATTTCATAGAGTAAAGTATTTTAACAATGGCTAATCAAAAATCTTAACAATGGCTAATCAACAGTGTTAACTAACTACTCAAACTGACCAATGACATATGTACAACTGGTCTAACTAAAAGATAAGGGTAATTAATTAAGACGGTGCCATTTTGTGTATGGTTGGAGCTTCACATTACTTGTGTAGAGGAAGGGCGACGTTTCGCTCCAGTCACAGTTTCTGGAAAAAAGGGGAACGACGTCGTTCCGTTTTGATCATTGACTGCACTCGTGACATCTCCTTCTTCCATTCAGCAGCAACTTTGATGCAAAGTGAAGGTACGCTCGATCTGCTGATGGTGGCCCTTGTCACTTCTCCAATACCCCCCCCCCCCCATCGGAAGCTGGCGAGGTTCTTCCAGAGACTCACAGCCAGGAGGAGGTTAAATCGATCAATACCCAAAGTCTTGGTAAATAAGTCTGCAAGCTGATGAACAATGGATAATTGGTGCAGACTGATCAAACCATTAGTCAATCCTTCCCTGTTAACGTGACAATCCACTTGAATGTGTTTTGTCCGTACATGAAACACTAGATTTTTGGCGATATGATAGCTGACTGGTTATCACAGAAAACCATGGCTGGTGAGGAATGAACAATACCAAAATCTCCAAGTAACCTGACCAGCCAATAAACTTCACAATTGAGATGAGCAAGAGCTCTGTATTCTGCTTCAGAGAATGATTTAGATACACTGCTCTACTTTTTACTTTTCGAGCTTATCAACCCTTTCCCAAGGAATGTACAGAAACCTGTGATAGATCTCCTTCAGTCTGGGCAAGTTGCCCAGTTAGAATCACTATAGTCAGTCAGTTGCATAAAAGAATCACTAAGATAGAGTAAGCCTTGCCCTGGAGAGTTTTTGAGATACCCGAACACTCTGTGTAATGCCTAATTGTGCACTGTTGTTGGAGCATCCTGAAATTGACACAACTGCTGCAAAGCAAAGTTAATGTCTGGTCTGGTACTATTCAAGTATTGGAGTTGTCCAAGAAGGTGCGTGAACGAAGGAATATCAAGATAGGGATCCCCATCAGAAACAGATAGAGGGTTAATCGAATGTGGTGAGTGAGCTCTTTTCCGTGGGCTCTCGTGGTTATCCACATGCCTCCGAGGACGCCTTCCCTAAGCTCATGCTCCAGTCACCTCGATGTAGACTATCGTATCTGGGGCATTAAGCTTATGGCTCATTTTAATGGACACTATCCACCGTCCACACCGAGGTTTCATCCCGGGTTCCAACTAGGAAGACTACCTATAGCAGGGGTTCGGTCGCCTCGATCACCATAGGTCCCTATTCATACATCTAACCTAAACTTGCCAGTTGGCGCGTACCCATCTAACCCTAGAACTCCATACCCAGCATAGAATCATAAAGTAGGCTAATGGAGAAGACTAGAGCAAATTACCCAAGCGTCATCATTTAAAAAAGAGTAACATTAAAATCAACTAGACAAATACATTCATAACTCAAACATTCACAACCTATAACTAGTGTTCATCTACCCTAAACAACCACTAGAGATTCAAGTCATTAGAGAGTAAGAAAATACTAACTAGAAGAGGGGAATGATGGAATCAGGTTTCTTCTCCTTGCTCCTTGGGTTGAATGGATCTTCAATGAAGCTCTCTCAACCTATTTCTCTCTCTAAACCACTCCAAAACCCTAATTTTCTCACCATAAGGCGCCTCCATTGAAAAGTGCAGCAAGAGGGGTATTTATAGAAAGATGATGGCGGTCAAGGCCTACAGGGCGTGACCAGGGCGTGACCAGCTGAAACGTCTCCGAATTGATCGAAATGATGCGTTTTGTCCCGTCTTTAAGTTCTGAGATCGCGGCCTCCTTCACGAGATCACGGTCGAGATCTTTTGTGGCCCGAGCTCGATCTCTATTGCGGCCAAAACGCACCATGACCGCGATTCGGGGGGCGAAAATCTCTGCCTTCTTCTTGGTCTCCTGTTGGAGATCGTGGCCACTAATCGCGACCACGATCACAGGCCGCGATCATCGTCACGACCTGGTCAAGGACAGTGACCTGTGCCCGTGACTAGTGTTGTTTTTTCCGTTCTTGCTCCTATGCTTCTCATTCGTGCTCGGATGAACTCCAATCGATTCTCGATCAATCTCAAATGAATATCTGACTTGGAATTTCATCACAAACACTTGGAAAAGCATAAAATACCACAAATTGGGGTCGGTTCCCCTACGAAAACCTTCATATCAAGAATAAGTATGTCAAAATGCATGTTTTGCAAATAGGTACGAATATGTGAATAAATAATTTGATATGTGGCCTAGAAACGGTGAATTAGCATGCAAATGCTTTGAGAATAGGAGCTAAATAATGCCTATTTTAGGTGTCATTAGAAAACCTCTATTAGATTATGCATATATTTTAAAAAAAATCTTACTAATTTACATTCATATATTATCAAATTATATATATATATATATATATATATAGGTGGTTACTTCGGTGCACCCACAAAAATGAGTGCATTCAATGCACCCAACTCTTAAAGTAGCCTTAAGGCAATAAATTTTGGATTTTAATTGGTAACATTAGTCTGAAATGATGATATAACATATGATCACAACTAATTAATCCATTATCCTAACCCCTAAGCCTTCAATTTTGAACACAAACCCAAACCCCCAAATTATAAATCCTAAATCCCTAAACCCTTAATCCTTCAAATTAAAGTAAATCTTGAATGACTTTTTTTGAAAATTCTTGTGTTTCTTGTTCATAATATCATAAGCGATGATTGATACCATTTTGACATGAATCGCATGCTCGGAATGACGATTATGAAGCGAGTGTATTGAATGCACTAAAAAAAGTGGGTGCACCGAATACGTCACCATATATATATATATGTATGAATATATATTACAAAATTATCAATCATCTTCAAATCCGGTTTTAACTAGTCAGACCACCTGATTCTAACTTGTTTAACCCGATCTTGACTAGTTAACCCAATTTTACCTTTTTCATAGAATCGTCCAACCAAAGTGTATTTCAACATTTAGATGATCGATTCTGGTCGGACCACGTTAAATCGATCGATTGAATATACGTTTGACAACCTTGCTCTATCCTCTATCTATTTATCTAATAAAATATAATAAATATCTTCTTCATTTTACACTTCATAGTTTTAATTTTCCAAAGTTTTAATAAATCCTCTTTAGCACTCCTTACGACTAATCAAATCTTTTCCTTTTTTATTTTATTATATTTTCATTCGTAGATATAAAGGTTTAAACTAGAATCTGGCACCTAACATACTCTCTCATTTTCTTTTTAAAACTTTCTTCGACTCATAATCTATTCGTATTTGTTTCTTTTGACTCCCAATTTAGATATTTTGCGTAAAAAAAAAGATTTTATGTGATCTATACGAAGCTATTGATTTAGATGTATCTTGAAATTAAACAGAAATCTAAAGACATAGTCACAACCACATATTCACGAGTCATATGCCTTTTCGACAAAGTTACTACAATATTAATATACCACTTTATTTAGTTTTATACCACCGTATACAACTCACTCATGTACCAAAATAACTTACGACCCAGGTTCCTATATTATAGAGCTACTTGTTTTAGTGAAGAACATTGTTGTTAGGCACAAACCAAATTATCTTCATAAAAACTGAACTTCGGTCTACTGGTCGAGATCAGAGCTAGTATGTAGATATGGGTAAACGTTGTGAAATGCTGAAGTTATTTTGAACTATGGAGATACAATAGCTTCCACGATAGAGTAGTTAAGTTTGTAATGACTCAAAGGAAGGCTTCTCTGGTCTATCCCTACAATAGCTTCTGGTTCTTGGATATGGCGTCAAATGTTGAAGCAACGTGGTTGGTTCAGATATCGACTTGATGTTGATCAGAATGGGGTGGTGACATGGGAGGGGAAGGCTATGCAGAGGTTTTCCTTGGGCAGAGTCTGGGAGTCAATTCGAACTCATCATGCAACTGTACCGTGGTGGCAACTTATCTGGGGACGCTATGTCATTCCTCGACATAGGATTGTTGTTTGGTTAATTATTCTTGACAGGATTACAACCAAGACTAAGCTTCAGACGTGGGGAAAAATTGCAGATGCTAAGTGTGTGTTGTGCAATGCAGCAGATGAAACTCGAGAACACCTTTTCTGCCACTGTTTGTATACTCGCAATATTTTCTCTGCTGTCTCCCGAGATTTGGCACATCCCTGGGCGTGTACCTGGGAAAGCAGGCTTCGAGCAGCAAGTTCACTAGCACGATCTGGGGGAGCTAAAGGGCGAGTTGCAAGTGTTGTTTGGTGCTGGGTCATGTACTTAATCTGGACTGAGCGTTGTCGCAGAGTTTATGGAGGCCCTTGCCTTGACTGGCAGGCGCTTTTTAGGCAATTACGAGAGGAGATTCTGCTTGTAGCTATGGGTAATAGAGCATTCTGTAGTGACCTGAATATTAGTCCTTTTAGGTTGCTGTTGTGAGAAGCTGATTTGTGGCTTTCTCTGTAGACATACTCTGTTTTGTCTTGTTTTTTCGGATGCTTGATCTTTTGATCAAGAGAACTTCAAATAAAGTTACCAGCTTACTAAAAAAAACATTATTCCACGTTAACCACTGTGCTAATTTTGTTTTCTTTTTCTGTTTCATTTCTATTAACAATCAATCTTGAATCGAGGGAATGTGGACGAATGTAGTTAGTCCAGCAGTTTAATGGTAGCAGCGGCATGATTTTGATATTCGAGTATTTATCAAGTCCCCAAAAACCCTATGCGAAAATCTGATTTCCGCA